TTACGAATTATCTTCTGAGTGCTGATGGAGAAATCTTTAATCCCCGTCATAGAAGTGTTTATCAAGATATGTCAAAGTCGTTGACTCACTACTTCATTGCCTCCTCGCATAATACGTAAGGATACAATGTGTTTGACAATATATATCTACCTCTTTATATCCCTTTTGTGTACATCTGTCTGTCCATCTTTCGCACTATGTGTCAGACGAACAAAAATTCCAATTGTCCAGGCAAAGTACCATGATTTTTTTAAGTGAGACCATGTGACCTGCCAATTCCTAAGCATCTGCATCGCTGTTAAGTTTCGATGGTTGTTTTCAACGTGGTATACTACTCCTGCAAGCGAGAACCAACTGCGTAAGACGGAATGACAGAATGTATGACAGAAAAACGGACGACGAGTGCAGATATAATAAAGAGTACAAAATCAAAGAATCGGTCGCAGCGCCAAAGAACATTGCCGGTAATTGGTTGGCTCAACACAGAGTAGCATAAACAATAGATCCTATTGTTCTAGCCAACCAATCACAATGACTGTTATTTAGAGCTGCACCTCTAATACTGTTCTGTCATTCCGTCTTACCACATGCCTTTGTGCCAATGTTACGCAGTTAGCTCCAGTATGAGTAGTATACYCCGTTGAAAATAATCATCCAAAAATTAAATTTGTTTTGAAAATACTCCATTTTACAGTTCCGGCGCCATCTTGAAAGGTAACCGAGCCTTACAATAAACGAGGCAGTAGTYGAGCTTGCAATGATAGATATCTGTGAATAATTKTCTTAGGTGTGAACAAAAGGTATCTATCACATGGCAAGTCACATGGTCTCACTTGAAAAAATCATGGTACTTTYCCTGAACAATTCAATTTTTTTTCGTCCGWCATATCTAACATATTTCTGTTGCTGTAGATATYTGCTTGGAGATCAGTTAACGTCTACGTCKAGTATGGAYATCTATGTTCGCGTTCTACAGTCCGGATGTCGCTGTCTTGAACGTATGTAAACACGTGTCATTCAACATAACCATCTTAAAATCATCATATTCTATTAACCAACAGTCAACAAACTATGATCGTCGAATCTTATTAGTGCTAAAATCAATGCAAATTAACCAAATCTAGAATTTGTCGCAATTTATAATTAAAGGCCCAGTGCACCATTTTGCTTTGGGGGCCGCGAGGGCCTGAAGGCGGCCATTTGCAGTTTACCGAAAGTCTATAGATTGTACTGTGTGTTTCGAATCTTTGACCATCTCACTTTTCTAAGCACTTTAAACGATAATATTAGAATTTTCAACAATCTGGAATTCGTTTCATGGTGATATTTGGATACTAGAAGTATTTTGGTGTAAATCATAACAATAACATGGGCGCGCAAATTAGCATAATGGTGCAAACTGGACTTTTAATAAAAAAAATCTCAATAATGAGAAGTATTAGTAAGTCCTTTGAGAGCGAAAGACGTTGAAACGCGCAGACATTGATCAATTAAGGTTAGAATATCAAAAAAAGACGTACTGAAAACCTTCTTACTTCCACAGTCGATTGTTGGAATGGTAAAGACGGGGAGCCTGTGGTGTATCATGGGTATACGATGACGTCAAAGGTCAAGTTTCGCTACATCATTCTGAACATCAACGATTATGCATTCACGAACAATAGGTAATATGCATATGGACACCTATTTCAAAAAATCTTGTCGGGCAAAACGGTGAAGGGCGATTGTCGAAAGGGAAACTTCACGGCAGAAAGGGACTATGGTTACTTGTCTGAGATTACATTGTAAATGTTTACCACAGCCTATCAGAATAAATCAGTTATTATTTTCAACCAATAAGCAAAACCCATGGGCCCTTGCGCGCGTGCAATTTCCGACAGTCGCCAATTTTATACAAAAACGTTTTGAAATAGGTATCTTATGTGAAGACATCAATCTTATGTATTCGAATTATTATATGATTAATACTATAMATATTTGAACATGTATACATGCATCAGTACTTTCGGAAAACAATGTGTCCGCCATCTTGAAAAGTGGGACTAAATTATGTCAAGCTAATGTCAAGTTATTATTATACGATATAATGATAGATTAGTTGACTTAGCAACTGCGAAATGCACAACATAGTAATTCCGGTCTCACTTTTCAAGATGGCGTACGCATTGTTTTCTGAAAGTACTGATGCATGTATAATACGTTATTTACATGTAAAAGCTTTAATATATCAAACGGCACCGTGATCTTTCAAAATTTCGAATGCGGAATAATAATAATAACAAAACTGAAATGTGGCTTGATAGCTGTTTTAGCTTCTGGTATTTGTGCCTCGTTTTCCGTCATTTTGCAGCAAAAAACAAAGCGTTATTAAGCCGGATGGTCGAGATGCACGACAAATAAACTCACATGCTTATATTAAAAGACTTAATTTATTGATGGTTTTTATTACCTTTATTCAGGTATCCAGTAATTCTCTCTATTGAAAACCATTGCAATATAGAACAGCAAAGATTTATGGCTGACTTCATGAAAAAAACCTTCAAAGATATCCTTTTTATTGTTTATTACAAAATAATTTCAAACAAAATCATTATTTTCTCCAGGGCTTACTCACTGAAAAAATAGAGGCTTTGAAAACCTTATATGGACTTATATCGTTAATATTATCCACGTCGCGCATGCTTAGAGTGGAGATTGACTGCTGAGATGAGTTACGTTGTTGGTTCATGTTCTGGGAATATAAATCTTTTGCTTAATTTTCACCACTTGAAGCCTTACCGTGCGTGGTTTGATTCTAAACCACAATACCATATTTGGAGATGCCATTGTTTCCAAGATTGCATACCCAAGACACATAATGGATATTTCAAAGTAACCATTAGATTTCTGGTTATTAATTGCTCAAACGAGAACATGTGATATAACATCCTTGACATCTCGTACATAAGTTAGTTCAAGCTGATAGATACGAGGAAAAAGACCTTCCTTCACCAAAAGACTTGATGGGCAAGATTTTGATCAAAGTGAGTGAGATGCAAATGATTATTACCTTATCACTCAGTGAAAAGTGTTCTTGCTGTTCAGTAGAATTTGAAATTATTATTTTTTTAMTAGACAAAAAAGCTTCCAATCGCTTTAAGCGATGAACTGGACGAGGGCGAAGTGACCGAAGAGGACTCGGCCGATGAAATGGATGACTGTTTCAAATTTAAATCAGATGACGTGAGTATCAGTATTGATTCAATCTCGTACCCAGAGCCCGCACTTTTTTCATCCATTGTAAATGCGTGAGAGACGATTTTCAACTCATTAGTGAMAAAAATCTTCTTTTTGCACACAACCATACGATCATATTTTTACACATCAGTTTTGCTTTTAAAAAGTTGTAATTACTGCTTTTCCTGGAGTACATTATTGGCAAAACCTTTTTCCTTTTTGTCATTTTAATGATGTCAACTGAAAAAAATCTGACTTGTTTGCATAATTTGCGACGGAAAAGCGTCGCAGTTCCAGTCGATTCCTCCAGAGTGTTTCCGGCGTCAGAATACGCCGCTGACATTAGCCATGTAGAATCTCTGCTTGAGATTGTTATTGAGTACTAAGCAGTTCTTTGGATGCCTCACTTTATAATGTGAAGTAATGAATAGAGCTCAAACTTGAGATATTTCCCCATTCCCTCTGAAAAGGTTTCGCTGTGTTGGTACACGCTAGTACTACTGTCGTTCTTGTGGACATGKTTCCTCCTCATGTGTATTTATATCAAAGATATTTCTACCTGCACCTCATACCTGCATGCTTTCATAGTGTGTTATGTTGTCTGCGCTGCCTATAGAAATTGTGAAATAATATCCGTTTGCCGGGAGTGGAAGAATTACAAAATTGGTATTTAGAAATACTTATGTTATAAACTTGAAACATATTTCATTAATCAGTATTTAATTATTTACTTACAGAACGAAACTGTCCACAAGATCAAAGAAAGAAAATGTCGCAGAACATTGGCCTCGCTCAATCGACTTCGCATGAATAAAGAAGACGATGAGAGCGAYGCTCGAGGGGATCTGAGTTCTGCCATCGTGTCTTCAGTTGCYGAGGAAGAAAATACAGAAAATAGTGTCACTGTAGCTAAATCAAGCTCTAAGGTGAGTTTTAGCTGTAGGAGGCAGCTAGGACCATAAGGGATGRCACGATCCTTTCCTTGGRAAAAGTTATAGCTCCAGCAGTTTAGAACATCACCACCTATTGTAGTTAAATCGTTAGGGAATTACCTCATGTATGGATGRCAAAAGAACAGTAGCTGTTATAATTCGATGGTTTACAAATCATATACTTATAAATTCATTTTTCGAACGTCAAATTCTAAGTGCGTCGAATTCATTGCAAATTCCAAAGACAGAAGAAAAAGGAAAAAGGATTCTTTGTTYACAGCTATAGGACGCTCATCTTTCAAATGTAAAAAACAAATTGCAGTTAGTTCAAAAGTCGTAATTGAAGTACGTTTTTCTGAAAATCTAGCAATTAACGCGCAAAATATCACGAGAAAAGAGATWGATAAGATTCATGGATGCAATAGAGCAGATGCCTTTTTTCACAATACTGATTTCAGTCATTTTCCGAATCTCAAATTAGAAAGTCTTCTGGGTTTTGAATCACAATAAGTAATATGTAAAAGTCTACACGCTGGTTATAAATTGGGTAAAGATAGACTCTACGMCAGGAGTCACACGGTTGTTGTTTCAGCTATCGAGGTCATTCTCAGCCAAAGAGTACAGCAAAGGTGAGCGACGAGACAAAAAGATCAACAGAAGCCACAGCTTCTCCACCGGTATAMGTAAGGTACGAGGGAAAACGGACTCCTTGAAGTAAGACAGACTGAAACAGATAACGTACTTTTCAAAAATAAGAAACAAGCACCTAAATTGAGAGGCACGAAAATTAAACACTCACCTGTTACGTAAAATTGTAGCTGCAYGTAACAGAAATCAAGGGCGTTAACTTGCGTAGTATGAAGGGACGGAAGATATAACTGCAGTAACGTTACGTAAAGCAGGAATGAAAAYAGAGAAAATAACCTTATTAACCTACGTAATACAAGGTGGATGTAATTAAATCYTGGTGTGGAATACGCAGATAAAGAAACATACCTTTCTAGCGAACGGAATACTTCAAGATAAACGGATTTGTTGTGCAGTAAGACGTGTACAGCATAGTTTGGAACGACATACAGATAGACGTACTAAAGAGACAATTGAGACACTTAATTCAGTATGTGCTGTTGGCATGTMAATGTCTACGTAAACGCAAGTCTTGCTGACTCTATTTTTCATTGGTCTTTTCTAATTTTAATAACATCGTAAAGCAATCCATATAGCTCTTTGAAACACTAAAAGTAAAACTATGGATGTAACATTTTGTGATAATMCAGCAGCATGTCTTACGCTAATTTATCGCGTAAAAATAATACGCACTGTGTATTTAACAAATAGATCTCATTTTTCCGTGCGTGTGTACTCTAATAGATACACAGATGACGTCAAAATGTAGTGAAAACAAAAAAGTACGCACGAGACGCAGTCGAGTGCGTGACTGTTGTTCTCACTACATTTTGACGTCATCTGTGTATCTATTAGAGTACACACGAACGGAAAAATGAGATCTATCTGTTTTATACAACAAACAATTAGTTTTGACGTAATCCGTGTATCTATACTTTGATAAACACACGAAAGCCAACCAATCAAAACGTCTGATTTTACTGAAAAGTTGTATAATTTCTACTAGATCTTATGATTAACGTTGCAAGCCTTACGTATTTTTGATATCATTATGATTTGCGTAACGCTACGCAATGTTATATTGTTATGCGTTTCTTTCTGTAACCAGCAATCCAATGTTGTTTTCACTTATCAACGCATCTTTGCATGTGGTGATACTATTACATGATGCACTTTATAAATTAAATTAAATGACAATACTAATTATGTMTTTTCTTGCTTCGCATGCCATTAATGCTGTTGCTTTTCAGAATACCTCTAATATCCTGTCTCTCGGTGTCACTTGTATATGTGAGCGGTTTTACCCGTATAATATATAGCCATTACACTAATACAACTCTAAGGCGCTAGTTATGTTGTTTTCTTTTATA